AATACCTCGAGAGCATTTTGAAAGCATAAGGAACCGTCTGTATGGTATTTTGATGTCATACACCGATCGATCTGCACACGCAAATAAAGCCAAAACCTAGATATTTTAGGCAATATAGAAATCCTGGCCAGGACGCGTCCTGGGAAAATGGCACATATGGTCACCCTAGACTAACTACTTACTAAATTTCACCCTTATTATTTGTAGGGTTGGGTATCGAGAACTGGTTCTACTTTAGAACTGGTTCCAAAATTCCAAGAACCGTGGATTTGATAAGACACACCCATTTTGACTCTGCTTATCAATTTGTGTGTGCACTTTAATATGGTTTTAAACCATTCAAGTGCAAGAAGACACAAAATAGTTTTCTGTACTGCACACACATCCAAAGCAGGTGCACTGATAAAAGCCGACTCTCATGTAGTGCGCAAACACTGAGTTCAGTTTTCTTTTGCATCTTTTTCACTTAAACTGACAAATACGCACAAAATGATGTCAGAATATCCTTGTGAACAGAGAGTTTTGTTTTACGTTGACATAAACAGTTTAGAAAAAACGCACATGTAACAGAATATTGGCTCTGTGCATTAGGTCTTAAAGTGATAGCAGCCTAATAATACCACTACTGTCTGTCATTAATGTTAATTAAAGAACAAAAGAAAAAGAAATATCTCACTGATCTTGATTGGAAAACTTAATAAGTTTTCCAATCTTTTTCACTTAAACTGACAAATACACACACAATTATGTCAAAATATCCTTGTGAACAGAGAGTTTTGTTTTACGTTGACAAACAGTTTAGAAAAAACGCACATGTAACAGAATATTGGCTCTGTGCATTAGGTCTTAAAGTGACAGCAGCCTAATAATACCGCTACTGTCTGTCATTAATGTTAATTAAAGAACAAAAGAAAAATAAATATCTCACTGATCTTGATTGGAAAACTTAATAAGGGCTAATCTATATTTTATTTGTAAAAAGAAAACTATGCAGTATTATTTTACTTTTGATTACATTTGATTTCACTTTCTGTTCCTGAACTTTTTTAGTTGTATTTATGTGTAATTTGTTTATTTTTATTTTATTTTATTACTGACTGTTTACTTGTCTTTAATAATGTTTGAAATATATATGAGTTAGTCTAGCTTATTTTTGCTCTTGTGTTTTTGCTAAAACCATAGGCAAAATGTCTTGTGTAAGTGTTCTTTAGGCTGCTGTTTTGTAGGCTGTTGAATTTTGTTCATGGTATTCAGCTGCAACAGAATGATTTGCAGAAAGACAGCATAAATATGTTTGATATCTAAATGTTTGATTTCATTTTTTTTAATACCTTATTGGAATCGAAACTGGGAATCGCTAAGAAGTGGAATCAATAAAATCCGGTTCCCAGCTCTAGTTATTAGACACTTTTGTTAGTGGAATAAATTAATCATAATAAGTACGATTTGTATGTCAACAATTTTGTGTGTGTACGTGATGCTGCATCCATACCAGTAGGTGTCAGTATAAAGTCTAAGAACTCTGTTGTATTAGCTAGAAAAACAACTAAATAACATTACTTGTCCAACACAACAAAATAAAAAATATTTAAATCAAACAGGCATGTTTACAACAGCATACTACCAAACTACGTTTACTATTTCAGAAGCACTGTGTTTTTTAGAATACATATTTCATAGTCTTAAATGTGCTGCAGGACTGTAAATGAAGTATAAGCACCTATGTGAAGGGTAGAGAGGATGTATGTTAGTAACGTGTTGCCAGTGATGCACTCTAGGACAACTGGATAGAGTTGCGTTTCATCCATCAATCAGTCTTTCACTGTCTCTTTGTCAGTTTCTTTCTCCAACCTCAAATACCACCATCAACTGACAGGATATGTAAAGGTCTGTCAGCTCATGTCTCCTGTTTGTGTGTTTTATTTTAGGTTCCACAACTTCCTCTTCAACACTCCAGAATGAGGCTGAACTTGGGGATGATGATGTGTTCACAGTAAGAGCCTTTGTTTTATTACCATTATTTAGTGCGTCATTATTTTATCAACCGTTAACATATACTTTCCAACATACAAGTGAACGAATCCCATAAAAAACAAACAAACAACAAAAATTCCCAGAGCACCCAAAAATTAATAGAAAAAAAGAAATTATATTTTGATTTTTTAATTTACATTTGATTTTGTCCCTCATATTTTTATTATCATAATGTATCCAGACATTTTTTGAAATTCCCATTATTCTATCTAGGTTTTCATTTTAGTAATACAACAGTTTTTACTGTTTTACTATAATAGATTGATTGATTGATTGATTGATTGATTGATTGATTGAACAAATATTAAAGGGAGTGCAACAGATACAAATATTATGGGTAAATACTTCAACAATAAATATAATTTAAGTAACATTTTTAAATATATAAATACATTTAAATAAATATATTCAAATCCCATTTAAAACACATTTGAAATATAGAAACTAATTAATATAATACATTTATTTTCACAATTACAGTAATGAGAATATTTGAATAAGATTTGAGCACAAAGTTATTTAAAAAAAAAAAAAAATGTCCTAAAATGTGCTTCCTTTTTTCAGCTAAATATAATTTCTTATTTCTTTCTTTTGACTAAAATATTATGGAGCCCTGCACATGACATGCAGAGGAAAACAATAAATTATAAATATATTAATTTGTGGCTATGTGTTTTTATTATTAATGTTTTATTTTTTTTGTTCCTTTGTTTTAGTTAAATCATGGCCACATTATTCTAATTTGTTCCCTCATGTTAGTTTAGTTTAATTTAAAATTTAACTAGAATGAGGGAAAAATTAGTACAACTAGGCCACGATTTGACGACAACAAGAGAATGAATTAGTATACTGAAAGAAAAATTGGTGTAGAAACAATTTCATTTAGAAATTGTTAGTGAATTTCTAAAGCAATCACAAAGAAATGACAAGTAACACATTGAATTAAATGTCTGAAGTAAAAAAAAAAAACATTTGTAAAATAGTATTTTCTTACTCCAAGAATTTTTATTTTATGCGTTGTTGGGATGAATATGGCCACGGTATCTTGTTTTTTTCACCTTATGACCCAGACATGTTCTTGACGTTTTCGCCCAAACATATGGGGTGTGTGTGTGGTTTAGTTTCGCGCTATATGGGCACGTACATTTTGAAAGCAATATTTAGTAACTTCCTCTTCCCTTCAGCTTTCATGTCTGCGGGTTTGGTTTGAGTGTGTGCAAAGCTTCCCAGAAAAGGCCGAGGCCTTGTGATATTTTCCCCCGCCGAGGCTGCCGTGGAAGAGAAGGGCCTTTGTTTTTTGAAGATGGTGGATGCGATAACAGTGCAGGCAGCTTTCCTGTGGCGCTTTCAGAGCAGGCTGTGCCGACGCTTGGCTTTTGCCCACATACTGTCCTTTTGTCACAGTCACAGGAGACCAGGAGCAGCAGGCGAGGTCAGGAGATGACTTCCTGCTCTCCCCAGTAAAACTATCATTAGCAGCTGCTTCCTAGCTAACTGCCATCCTGATTTACTGCCGCCCAGGGTGGAAGGAGGGGGGCACACACAGGGGAAGCCTCATGGCTCCTCTTTCACTCGCTGTCTGTCTCGCTTTCAGGCCAAAAAGGGTAGACTGCTAAGCCAAGGACCCCGAGCTTGAAAGGAAACTTAATCCAACGCTTCTTTCCGTCCTGGAATTTCTGCTCTTCTCGTGCTGTTGGGTGCGTCCCTGCGTTCGGAAAACAGAACGAGATTTACTGCCGAGCTGTTTCTTGTTTTGCGGGACACACGCGCGTTGTGAAGCGAGTGGACGCGCACTTTCACGTGAGGTCGTTGGCACAGAGTTGTTGGGATGGGGGCTGGTGTTGATGACCTTTCCATATATTGCCATGTGAGGCAAGTGGCCGCAGACAGCAGAAATGCAGGTCTGGATTTACAGCTCGGGGCGATTATATCGAGGGGAGTTGTTCCTCTGCTGGGATGCGCATTCCTCCTGATGGTTCCTCGTGAGCTAACCTATACTTAACCTCAGCTCGTTTTAGCTCATTCAGATCAGGGAAAGGACTTGCTCTGCGTCTCTGAACGCTGAGCATTTAGCAGGGTGTGTCGCTTTGAGACGCCTGGTTTTGGGATGCTTGTCCTCACACGACACCTCAGTCTAGAACTGATCAGAAAGCTCATCTTCATGTCTTTTCCAGTCATTTCAAGCAAACCACCAAAGTAACCAAGCAGATTCAAAACTTTTAAAGTAGTTTAGAGGGTTTTTTTTTTAATCATGAAAGGAAGAATATTCCATTTTTATGCACCAATGCACACACATAGATTTGCACCAATACATACATATATAATACACATTATTACATTTATAATACAGCATTAAATAGAAATTATTGCTGTATTGATTCATTTTATTTTACCAGCAAATAAATAAATGAATAGGAATAAAGAGATAATATGGGGAAAAAAATAATACTTTTACATCTCATGGTTTTATAGAAATTATTTTTCTTAATTAAATTATTAATGTTCCTGTGGCTCAGTGGTAGAGCATTGCGTTAGCAGCGTAACAGGTTGTGGGTTCAATTCCCAGGGAACACACATACTGGTAAAAAATGTATAGCCTGAATGTACTGTAAATTGCTTTGGATAAAAGCGTCTGCTAAATGCATAAAATTAAATTAAATTACATTTTTAAACACATGACTTTTATATTTATTTATTGTATTATATGTGCTTGAGAAAGCCAACATACTGGTGTTATATTTAAAGTTGTAAAGGAAGAATATTTTACTATTTTTAATTTTATGCACCAATGTAACTATACACAAATATACAATACATAGTATTACATTTATAATACAGCATTAGATGTCATAGAAATGATTGCAGTATTGATTCATTGTATTTCACCAAAAGAAAAGAAAAGAAAATGAACAAAAGAATGAAAGAAAAAAATGTGAATATTAGAATACTTTCAGAATACTTTCCAGAAGTAAATTTTTTTTTTTACATCATCATGATTTCATATAAATTCTTATTTGTAAACACATTACTTTTCTATTGTATTATATATATGTTGTATTATATATGCTTGAATTTTCTTTTGAGACTAAAATTTCAGATTTTTTTTTTTTCGAACTGATCCCACTTTCAGACGCGGAATTCCATATATGCCAGAATTCCGTGTACTTACATTGATGGACTGTGTAAGAGTAGAGAGCACTAAGTGATTCACGAGCTCCAGAGGTCATAATGCTGACACAAACCCATCACAGCATCGCCCTACACCATGATACAAGCAGCGCTCCCTGATGATGCTGAAAAATGTCAAAATGGCTACGATGAGTCATCAGTTATGAAGTGCAATGAGTGTTTTGTTTGGGATTTTTCAGGCAATCTTTACTCAGCATTTTACACACAGAATGGAACTGGTCAAATCTGCAAGAAAGAATGATGATGACCAAGGTAGTTTTTGATGGTCCGCTAATCTGAATAGTCATCATAATGTTAATTTGTTAGCTTAATATCAAAGAACTTTATGCTATACGTAGCATATAAATGTATAGGTATATTTAATAATAATAATTAAAAAAAAATATATATATAAATGACCAAAACACACAACAAAATTAAAATAAAATTAAAATAAATGACTTCCTTTCTTCTGTGGAGCACAAAAGGAAATAGTTAATATCCAAACCACAAAGACAGTCTTGTCAAGCAAGTTTGTCATGACGATATTTTTAGTGAACAAATCTTTTCATAAAGATATAGTATGACATGGTGTTGCGCTACATTCATTTTTAGTTTAGTTATTTGAGCTGTTCGTATAAATGCCTTGTTTCAGGTGTGTGTCTGACTTCCAGAATGCAAGAATAGACACTTTACTGTACACTTGAATAGAGTAAGGTAGAGTTCCAGACTATTTTGGTTGTGTGTGTGTTGGGGGAAATATATAAATGACAAAAAACAACTTCCTGTGCAGCAGTCAGGCAGGATAAGGCTTTGCTGTGTAGAGAGCTCTCAGCCAGGGCCCTGGAGGATACTCAGAGGAAGTGGGATGTGGAAGACTAACAGTTCTGGGAAGAGGGAAAAAAAATAAGGTGGAAAGAATCAATGCTCCTTTATGCAAGAGGTAGAGAAGCTTTATTCCGTTATCCTCTCCGGTCCTTAGCAGCACTGGGCATCTGTGTGTGGAGTATGTGTACGCAAAGGCTCGCAGCACTAATCACAGCAGTGGAAAAGATACCGGTGCCCTTCCACCCTCCGGGCCGCCTGCCTCAGACTCAAGATGGCTAATTACACAGGCAATTTGACTTGGAACTCAATTAGTTCCAGCACATTTTTCACTCCCTAGATTGTCTTATTGAAGACTTATAGCTGAAAACACCATAAAAACATTTTCAGTGGTTTGGAGCCCTATAGAGAATAAAAAACCCTTTCCAGATAGCATCGGTCATGCATGTAGTTGAGCACACGCTTACTGTATAGCCTGGCGTTTGGAGCGATCAAATCTGATTGCTTGCGGTTGACCGGAGCAGCAGGAAAGCTTTTGATGGACAGCAAATCCTCAGACCTAAAATGCTAGCTGCTAACCTGTAAAGCATGCAGCCCTCAAGACACGTTCCTCTGGCTCGGCAAACAGCTATCTGAAGGTCCCCATTTAGTCCTGCCATAGTTCACTGTTTCAAACTCCTTTAAACTATTTTGTTCAACATGATGTCACACAATTTGTGCTTCAACTTCTTGATAAAATATGGTTGCATCACGCACATAAAGAGAATCTTTACAGATTGTCATCTCTCAAAACTCTCCAAAAATTGTGGCTTATCACACACTACAAGATATTTAGATTATCATCATACCTCACATGATCTCTGTTCTTCAGTGGGAACTGGAGGTGAGATTTATATACCAGTTTTAATATCTGTTAACCGTAGTATGCTAGCTAACATTAGCCTCAAGGGCAAAAATGTTTACTGTTGATTAGCAACACCATCAGCACGTTAGCTTATAGCGCTAGCAGCTTTCTAAACTCACCCGGTATGTTCAAAACTGAGGCGATTTCTCCCAAGCTCTTCTCTTTATTCGTACAGTTGTGGTATGTACGTTAAACAGGCAGTCGTGTTGTTGTCATACTTCCACAAGCCATTCCTCCATCGCCATTGTCCAACAGACCTGTACGGCAGCTTGTTTTGCGGTTGCTGTTTCAAAACTTCACTAATTCAACTCTGTCTCTTTATAGACTTGTCTCTCATTGGCTACTGCGAAAGTACTGATGTAATCATAGTCGTAATCATTCTGATTTAAAATCCTCCCGATCAGCTCTCAGACACATTGGGGCCACCCCGATAACAAACATTATCGGGGTGGCCCCAATGGGTCTGAGAGCTGATCGGGAGGCTCTAGATTCAATCTGAAAATTGGCCAAACATCGGAACCAACCGAGGTCCTGGACTAGATGTTTTCTCAGATTGTCGACAGGAGTAATTTGGGGATAAATCGGTCCAAAACTCCTGTAGTCTGAGCCCGGCCTTAGCATACAGTCGAACACATAGACTTTCAAAGTGTACTCCATGTGATACCATGAAAAAAAAGAAACTTAATGCACAGAAAAAAGACATCCTAGTGTTCACGCAAAGACCGAAGTATATGGTGGACTTAAAACTCAAGCAATAGGTGAAAAAAATACCCTTTCACTTACATTAAAGAAGGGACCCGAGGCCTCTAGAGGCCACAATATCTTAGACACTTGGGGGTGGGCTCACAGCAACCCAGAAAACCCTACAACCACAAAGCATCATGCTAAAAACACTCAGAACTTCTTAGCAACCTTCTTTCAATATCCAGGCAAGCTTCCATGGCACATTTGCATCAATGTAGCAAATGTTGCATGAACAAAGATCACTCGTTTCCTTAAAAAAATAAAAATAGACAATATCAGCTTTCCTTAATACTGTCTTTACTAAAAGTAATTTTTTGTTGTTGCTTATGTAGTCCTTGGTCCTTTCAATATGTTGTTGATGGCTTACATTACTGTTAGTGACCTCTGTACTGAGTTGTGGACTATATATGGGTCTGGTTTTGACCGCTGCTTCTATTTTTTGTGCTCTTCAATGCTGGTTCTCTCTCATCTGGTCCTATGGGGCCACATTAAGCTATGTCCGGTTATAGCCGGTTTATTGCTCACACAGTTCTGGCCGGCCCATTTTGGATTGGTCTGGTGTGGTTTCGTGCCAGGACTTAATGAAGTCCTGGGACTTAATGAAGGACTTAATGAAGGGGGGCCCATTTGTGAAATTACCTAAAAGACTAAAGCTTTTGCTCCCCCCCTCATTATCTCTCCGCGCTCCCCCACTGCGCCACTGATTGCGCGTCATTAACAGGCCGGCATCGGCTCTGCTGCTGGGAAGGTATGCCTTTGAATCAGAGTTGGGCCACATGTGCCTTTGAACTCTCTTGTTATCTGCGCTACGCCACACACATTAGAGCTTTTCGATAAGACTGCTGATTTTGTGGTGGGGGTTGGCGATTTACTTGAGTGTGCCATTTTTGGTGCTCTGTTTCTAAAACTAGTGAGCTGCCTAAAGAGTCATTTTACGGCATCATAGACATGTTTCTGTCATGGAAACAGTTTGAAAAAGCATGTTGAATGATAATGCTGCCTACTGAAGCCCAAAGTATACTTAGGTTTTTACGTGTACGCAAGGGTTCACGTACAGTGTGCGTGACGCAAATTTTGTCACCAGAATAGTACGCACACCATTCGATTTTTGTAACTGTGCATACTTTGTACCTGCAGGTCGCACATGTGTTTTGACTTGGTTTTGCACTAATCAGTTCTTCCACAAGGTGGCAACACTGGCCCGAGTCATTGTTTCAATGTGTTCATTACAAATTGTTCATTCATTTATTTTTAACACTGCACCCCCAGCACCCCCATTTTCTCGTGGGCTACACGCCAGGGGGTACTGCATCACCCTCAGCACCCCTACTTCCCACAGTAATGTAAATGATCTCTGCAATACATTTATGTTGGTTCTGTTCTGTTACCCTAGGGGTATTGATGCTCTCATCCATGCTAGGCTACATGGATGCGCAGGGAGTTCTTCCCCAGAACAGAATGGTCCCGCCAATCCAAACTGTATGCTGATTGTAAATCATCTTTGACGATAGTGGTCCTGACAGAACCTAGGTCTTTAGGTTTCCTTTGTTTGGTTATGATGCTGCCTCAGAAGACAGCTGCCCATGTAGGCGGTAGACAGCAAGGCAGCTCATTAGTTTTTTTTATATCTATTTTGGCCTCATACTGCTTGAGTACTTTGGCCCAGAGTTTTTTAGACCTGCAGTGTAAACATCTGAAAGGGTCTGTGTTTTTAATTATCTCCAGCAGTCCGGCCCCAGCTATCCTCCTAAACATATTTTTAAGTTATGTCGGCTCAGGCTTTCTTGGCAGTGCTTTGTGGGACGCCTGTATTATTTTTGGCCAGCAGTTCTGAGGTCTTTGTATGAAGGGGAAACCAAGGCCTGGCCAGGCTGGACTCAGACAGAAAGAGAGAGAGAGCTCGGGTCAGGGTGCAGGGACATGGCCAGCCTCTCGCCCAGCTGGAGTTTAGCCTCAAACATGGAAAACTCAGTTTGAGTGGCACAACAATATCTGATGCCAGTGATCTAACAGTGGATGGATTCTACAGACCCCATGAGTTTAGGTATATCACAGTCCTGTGATGCTATTGCTAGTCAAAAGCAATATCATGTATTTTTATTGATCATTATTAAAATAAAATAAATCCCAGACTACAGGCCGAGATGCTGGCATAGGTTTTAGCAAATCCCCGCAATTCTACACTGGACAAGAGGTGTGGAAAATCGATGAATGTATCATAACAACATAACATAACAAAGTAGAATCTCTCTCACTTTCAGCTGCTCCAGTTGCAGGTCACCATTATGCATACTTAATTGCTTATCATCCATATATTTATTTGGCATATTTTATATAAAGTCAAATTGAAATACAATCTCTCTCACACACTTTTAGCAACACCAAAATAAGGTAAGATAAGATAAGATAAGATAAGATAAGATAAGATAAGATAAGATAAATAGTGAATATTTTTGGTTTATTTTCCTGGAAGAGAAAGATTTCAATTTCAAATGTGCACATTTGCTAAAAGTGAGTTTTGCCAACCTTTCGGAGTACACTAGCACCTCAAAGCTAACAGACATCCATGAACAACCAACATTTCCACTTTTTATTTGTCGATCTCTCACTATTCCAACAAGTTTCTTTTAGTGATATTTACGCTCTTCTAACAACATAAATCTTTTTAAAACTGGAAGTGTGTGTGCTTATGCTCACACTCCACCTGGCAGGTGGTTGTTGAAGGCATCCGGTTCAGCCAAAGGAAGGATCACGTCCAGACTCTCAGCCACTAATCACTTCCCATCTGCCCTGCCTGCCTGTCTGTCGTTCTGTCTGTCTATTTAGTCCACCTCCGCAGGCAGCTGTCTGTCTGCACCATTCTTATGTTTTGTGTTTAACGGCTAGGCTGGAAACTTTTCACTGGAGCTCATTCAGACAGAGAACTGAAATCCTGCATTTCTGTTCATACGTTTTCATACATTTCCATTGACCTCTTCTGACAGACTGTTTCAGAGTCTCAGTTTTACTCCTCCAAGAGAAATTCTACACAATGTGAAATATATTATACATTAGATACAGTTTTGTCGCTCATCATCGACTGAATCGGTGCACTTCAGAGTGACTTTTTTTCCCCTCAGTAGCATGAGAATATCTTGATTTTGATACATATAGCACAAGCACTGAGGTGTTCTGTAGGTCTCTCTGGTGATGTTATGGACCAGAGCTGTTGGTTTTGTGTGTGATGGCCTATATCCCAGCATGCTGGAATAATTTTGAGTTCCTCTAATAACAGGGAGACTGCAGAGGTTTTTACAGATCCTGCGGCCTGAGGCTTGATTTTTTGTGTTGTTTAATTGCACACTGAAGTTGAGCCACGTCACGTCGGATTGAGTGCACTGACGTCTGCGTGTGTGTTTATGTGCAGTGTATGACCGTGTGTGTGGTGTATTAATGTGTAGCTGTGAATCAATGCCAGGCACCCATGACGTCATGGAAAACCGCATTTACTCGGCAAAACACCTGTCTGTGATCGGGATTGTCTTTTTGTCTTAAAATTTCCTGGACAGTACATGTACTGTTTTCAACTCAAGTTTTTGGAAATGATGGTTCTTCATTTGCAAATGTCTGTAAGTCGTTTGAGACTGAGTTTGTCTTTTTAATCTTTTGTTGTTCAGACTGCCACCGACAGCTCTTCAAACTCATCTCAGAAGAAGGAGATCTCTACACAGTTAGTGGCCACCTCCACCTTCTACGAGCTTCATCCACATCGCTGCATTCTGCAGTACCAGCCGCCTGAGCACTACAGCCTGGATCAGGTGTGGCAGGTGGAGGCATATCTAGGAGCCTAGGCAATATTTGCATGAATTAATGAATAGTCATACGTCATCTAGATCAGGGATACTCAAATGTCATAGGTCAGAGTTTGGAGATTTGTGGGTTTTTTTTTTAAGAAATTGATACTTTTATTCAGCAAGGATGTATTAAATTGATCAAAAGTGATGGTAAATACATTTATATTGTTACTAAAGATTTCTATTTCAAATGTTCTTTTGAACTTTCTAATCATCGAAGAATTATGCTATATATATATATTCAATATCTTATATACTTCTTATTTATTGAAGAAAACAAAATAACTACAATACATCTGTGAAGTCAGGGTTTAGGAGTACAATGTAATGGTAAAGAGGTGAATTCATTGGGGCAAGTACCTCACAACATGACTAAATTTTCTCATACCTCAAAATATGTCTTCACCAGTCAAAACTGTGTCATTGCGAGGTAAAAAAAAAAGTTGCATCCACGTACAAGTTACATTTTAGTTTTACATTTAAAAAATCAAAAACAGAAGATTCAGAATAATATATAAATACTATAAACACTACAAGTATTAAACTATTTCCAACCGGAGCATTCTCAGTTTCAGTGCAGACACAAAAATGATGACAGAATTGTAATAAAAATTGTACTGGTGGGCCAAAACTTTGATTGCTAATCTAGATTAATGAATGCAAAAAAAAACTGATACACAAAATAAAATTATTTATATTTAAATCTTAGCAATATTTAAATAATATTATTAAAGGCTAGAATACACCACATGACTAGATCTTTTGCACCAGTTTACAGTCTGGACAATTCAACACTTAGGAATTTTCGCAGAAAATCATGTAGTGAATGAAGGGCAAAGACTTTTTAGATTCAGACTTTGGTTCCATCCAGTCAGAGGATATAAACACGTTTGATATTTTGAGCCAATTTTAGATGCACATATTGTTTACACATTGTTTTCATGTCACTCATCTCCTAGAAACGAGGTGCACAAGTCTGTTGCGTTTGGAAGAACTTGAAAGTCTGGTAGTGTGTGATTCTCATTCAGATTTTAAAAGCCGTGTAGCGTATTCCAGCCTTAAATCAGATTTAGTGCTGGCAAACAATTAATCACGATTAATCGCATCCAAAACAAAAGTTTTTGTTTACATAACACATGTGAGTGTACTGTTTATATTTATTATGTATATATAAATACACACACATGCATGCAAATATTTAAGAAAAATGTCATGTTTATATATAAAAAATATTTATATATAATATAAATTATATAGAAGAGCGTACGCTGCTTGCGTTCAGCAGTTATTCTCCAAAATGGCGCTACAGTGATGCGGAGAGACACAGAGTAGACGAATTGAGTCGTCTATTTAAATAAAGTCGTTATTTTCTTTTTTTTTTGCGTACAAAAAGTATTCTCGTCACTTCATAACGTTACGGTTGAACCACTGATGGCAGATGGACTATTCTGACGATGTCTTTCATTCTTTTCTGGACCTCGACAGTGTAATTTACTTGGCAGTCAATGGGACAGTCACAAGCCTCCCGGTTTTCATCCAAAATATCTTAAATTGTGTTCCGAAGACGAACTAATCTTTTATGGGTTAGGAATGACATGGGGGTAAGTGATTAATGACAACATTTTCATTTTGGGGTGGAGTATCCCTTTAAAATAAAGTGTTACCTATACTGTATGTGTGTGTATTTATATATACATAATAAACATACACAGTACACACACACACACATATTATGTGAACAAAAACTTTTATTTTGGATGCGATTAATCGTTTGACAGCACTAATCAGATTACGTAATGAGTAAAAGATTAAACTTTTAAATTACATTTTCAAATAAGTGACACGATCCAATATTGTGAGAAAATAAAAAGAACTACGTTATATGATCTTACAGGCCCAGTCATCACTTTTGTGCTCTTGTTTCCTCTCAGAAGTTCTCCAGGAACCCCTTCCCATTTGAGGACGAGGAGATTGTCCGAATCAACCCCCGGGAGCGCTGGCTGATCACAGGCTACGAGGACTACCGATACGCCGCCGTGCCGGACAAGTTCATGCGTCACGAGGACTCGGACTCGTACGTTCACATCGCTAAGAACGAACCCTTAAAGCACGACTACAACTACCCCTACGTGCCCAGCTCCGACTTCAGCCAGTGCGACCTCAAGAGCCACTGCGGGGGCGACGGAGGCGTAGTGGCCACCCAGCCGCAGGCGCTCAAGCTCAAGGGCAAGCGAAGGAAAGAGGACGGAGAGCGATCGCGTTGCGTCTACTGCCGGGACATGTTCAACCACGAGGAGAACCGGCGTGGGCAGTGCCACGACGCCCCCGACCCCATCCGGACCTGCATCCACCGGGTCAGCTTCATGTGGTGCGCCGACAGCATGCTCTACCACTGCATGTCCGATCCGGAGGGAGAGTACTCGGACCCGTGCTCGTGCGACACCAGCGAGGAGCGTTTCTGCCTTCGCTGGACGGCCCTGCTGGGTCTGTCACTGTTTGCGCCTTGTCTGTGCTGCTACCCACCGCTCCACGGGTGCCACCGCTGCGGTGTGGCCTGCGGTTGCTGTGGAGGGAAGCACAAGGCCGTCGGCTGAACGAACCCGAAACACGCCCCTCGGAACGCTAGCACTGAGGGCAGGAGTGGACGAAACTTTCACTGTCCTTTACTTTACCTTCTCTCCTGGCTCCAGAAAACAGGTGGTGCGTTGAAAACGTTCTCTTTTGGTTGTTTTTATAAATATGAAAGTATATATATATGTGTATGTTCTTTTCTTTCCCTTTTGTTGTGGATGTTTCTCTCAGTTCCTCGGCTCTCCTGGAGCCCCCATGTCATGCATTACTTATGCAGGTACTTTATATTTTTTACACTGATTTGACTTTTCAAGAACTTGAATCGCTTGTCGTCTCTGTTTTGCGTTCGTTCGCCGTGGCAAGCAAAGGGAGGAATTCGCTGTTTACTCTTCCTGAACAGGTCCGTACATAAACTGGCATTTATATCCAAGCCCTTTAACCGTTCAGAACAATAACAATGAGATTAGCTCGAGACACTAAACCTGTAGTCGGAAGCGTGCGTGCGTTTATAGCGCGAGTGTGGGAGAGCGCGTGTCGATGCCTGCGTGCGTGTTGTAAAGGAATGATAACATTGTATCACAGCATAGTATTGTCGTTACTATATTTAAGCCAAATTTACATAAGCTGCATCCAGAGTATATGTAAATACTGTATACTCATATGTATATGTTTCAAATAGAATTATTGTAATCACCTGCCACAGCTGCGCTTCAGACATTTTCCTTAGAGTTGACTTTTTGAGTCTGATGCGTATTTGATAGCCAAAGATTATTTTTGTCATATTTATTGAATCACCAGCCAAAGGGAGAAAAAAATAAAGAGAGAAATCATCAGACTGTGGGCAAAAAAGCACAGCCATATGGGGAAGGAGGAGTTTCCAGTGAGCCCACGCCGCTTCAACTGCAAAAAAAAAAATGTTTTTTAATCATAATTTTTGTCTTGAAAAACATAATCTAAATATCCTCACAACAAATTACTTTTTAGATTTTTTTTTTTTTTAGAAAATATACCTAAATTTGGTTGAATTTTACCTTATTTTTATTCATTTATTTACAGATTTCTATTGATTTAAACAAACCTCACACAGTTTTATTAGATTTATGCTTAAAACAAGGAATGAAAAACAGTAAAAAAGTCGATACAAAATAATATTTTATGCAGTTTTGCTTCTCATGTAATTTTTGTTTGTTTTAGTCGACTGTTGAGATATTTTACTGGAAAACAAGACAATAATATGAATTAATGAAATGATTTTATGCTGTCTATTTGTGACTCTGGAGCACAAAACCAGTCTTAAGTCGCTGGGGTATATTTGCAGCAATAGCCAAAAATACATTGTATGGGTCAAAATTATAGATTTTTTTTTTATGCCAAAAAATCATTAGGATATTAAGTAAAGATCATGTTCCATGAAGATATTTTGTAAATTTCCTACCATAAATATATCAAAACTTAATTTATGATTAGTTATATGCATTGCTAAGAACTTCATTTGGACAACTTTAAAGGCGATTTTCTCAATATTTAGATTTTTTTGCACCCTCAGATTCCAGATTTTCAAATAGTTGTATCTCGACCAAATATTGTCCTGTCCTAACAAACCATACATCAATGGATTTAGAAATTTAGAAATTCTAAATTTTTAAAAATTGACACTTAAGACTGGTTTTGTGGTCCAGGGTCACATTTGATTTCATATATTCTCCGGAGGGAAAACACTAAAGCGCTATATATTTTTTCCCTTATTGACAGAAGGCTCATAATTTGTGTCTAGAAAATGAAAGGAATTGTTGTCTCAAAGATGTTTCCAGCTCCAGTCCTGTTCTCTAAGAAAAACAAAAGGAAACAGAAAAATAAGCTTGATTTTAAGGGTGCTTTATAGAGGGACGTTTGCCAAACCGATCTTCAGTTTCTTCATGACAATAACTTAACGCCTTAATTTTTGAGAGGACATTAAAATGGATCAATGCAGTTCCTCAAAGAAGAGTAAATAGTGAAAAGATATTTTTCTATTGTATAAAAAATAACACCCCAATAGATAGGCCTTTCTTTAAAACAGTTTTTGCGGGAGTCAAATGGCTCGTATGTGTCTCCATCACCAAGGACTTCATGGCTATAACCAGTCTCCTTCCCCTGCTCATGCTTTGTCTGAATAAATCATCCCCTGACAAAGCAGTGCTCTCATAGATACTCAAAGTGTATGTGAGCAGTCAAAGAATGTACAGTATATGTGCGTCAGATGCTTCTTCTTCTTATGTAAACCGTGTGGTGTGTTCTCAAATGACAGTGAGAAACTCTTAAAAATAAAGCTTCTTTAGTGGTTCGTTGAAGAACCTCTTCTCAACAATAACCGTTTTTCATTTTAAAGGTTCTTTGGAGATTCTTGAGGTCACATTATTGGTTTAAAGCTTGGGTTCGGAATCGTATACTACTCTTACTATTGCTGCAGTATGTAGTATGCAATGTTTTTTTAGTATGCATATGTCCAAACAACATTCACCGGATTTGCTGTATGGAACGTGGTTGACTTGACCTTCCATTTTCAGTGTGATGGATGAGACTATAAATAAGGCCTGTTCACATTACGAATTATAACTACATTGTCCACACCAACTGACTCTTTAAAATCTGATTGGCTGTCAATATTTCTATCACTCTCTATCTATTTCTATCACTTCGCTGTTCGCATAGAATGATTATATACAATGATTATTAAAACTTGATAGTTATAGTTAGCATTCTTGATGTGAACCGGCTTCGAAAGTCAGCCACAATTTTTACCATTTCTTTTTAGACTCATCGTTTGATCGGATTGGAAATAAATATATATTTAACACAAAATTGGCTTGGATTGAAAAATGTTTTATTTAATTATTATTATTATTATTTATAAAAATAAAAAAAAGTGTATCAAAATAATAATTATTTTTTGATGAATTAATCATGCAATGTGATGAGGTGATGTGTCAGTAATGTGATTATTGTGGAATTACATTGTATCCAGCAAAATTACTGTGAATTACTGTGCTCTATACAAAAGAATTTTCAGTTAACACTCAATTCTGCTCGTATTCAATTCCGAACAGTCTTTGTTTCATCTGTTTTGTGTTTTTTGAAGTGCTTCTATTTTGTATTTTTCTAGGAGAAAAAAAATGTTTTTCATTACATATTCTGTACACTGTAAAAAAATATATGATCAGTAATTCATGGCAACTTATGTTTTTACATTACTTACATTATCAAAATAAGCTTTTTTATGAAGTTCTATGAAAGTCAACTTGATTTTCAAGTCAGTTAATACAATTTGTTGAAATGACTTAAAAATACTTAAAAATTTAAGGCATGAGCTTAAGTTTTTAAGTTGAAATAGGTGGATTTTTTTTTACAGTGCAGAATAAGTAGAAAATTGTGTTGAAACATTTAAGATTTAGTGCCTCTTGTACTTACTATGTTCCCCTTTGTTTCTTTGTTTTAACTTTTCCAAAATATCTAATGTTCAGGTTTCCGTGAAAAACAAACATTCGATGTGGTCTCAGACTTTTGTAACTTTTCTAAAGAACCGCAAAGGTTGATGTTGTAAAAGCCTTTATTTTTAAGAGTGAGGTGCTGCTGTGTGCTTTCACTCTCCGAAAAAAAAAAGGTACAGAAGCTGTCACTGTGATGGTATTTATTTGAAAAAGGTACACCTTTGTACCTTATGGCGCTTTTCCACTGCATGGTACGCAACTATAACGACATGTCAATAATCCCGCCCACTCTAAAGCGGTACTAAACTGCAGTGAAAACGCAAACCGAGCCGTGCCGAGTCGTACCACGCAGTGGAAAAGCACCATTATTTACCTCTAAAGTGCATTTTAGTACCTTAAAGGTACATATTAGTACTTAAATGGTACATTTGAGTACCTTTTGAAAAGATGCTGCCCCAGTGGCAACGTTTGTACCTTTTAGTCTGCGAGTGTTCAGGTGTCTAACTCGCTTCACTGGAGTCCTCTCGCTGATGGGTGGCAGCTGTCACTGTGTCCTTTCTGTATCCGAGTACGTCAGCTTCATCCGAGCTTAGAGAAGAGCTGCGTTTTATTTTTCTATCTGTGGTAATGGAAAGTTAACCAAAAGCATTCTGTATGAACGTCTGTCCTGGCGCGACACTCATTTACCTGTTCAAAAGTGCCTGAAGCATCCTGTTAATCTATCTCCTTGTATACTAAAAACGAGAAAAGATTAAAACATGAAATAAACCCTATTGTATTGATTAGTTTTGTTTTTTTACAATGCAAATTTTTACCTCTGTAAAAAGCAAAAAAAAATCTATATCAAGTGTATGATGTACATTTTTATTTCTATTTTTTTTTATCGTTTCTAACATGTATGATCAATGTAGCTCCTGCTTTTAGGAAAAGATGGAAAAAAGAAAGTACTTTGTAAATACCAGTGGATCGTATCGGAGCTACATGACGGCCTGGCCGCTGTGCAGTTCTACATGTTTGTCATAGGTCCCAATAAAAATGAAAGAAACCAGTAACCCGTCTACATTCATGCTGTTTGCCGAGCTATTGTTCACTTAAAAATGCTAATTTGATCAATTTGGTTGGGTTTAGGCTTTGACCCAGTATTATTTTAGTATCATAGAGATACTATTATAGTTTGAATTCATATTTGGAATATTTAAAATATTTCTGTTTTCATTTTAATTCTAGTTGAAGTCGTTTTTGTCATTTTTGTTAGTTTTTATCTATGTAGTTTTTATTAATATTTTGAATTAGTTTTTATATTTTCTGTTTTTAATTTTTGAGAGGACATTAAAATGGATCAATGCAGTTCCTCAAAGAAGAGTAAATAGTGAAAAGATATTTTTCTATTGTATAAAAAATAACACCCCAATAGATAGGCCTTTCTTTAAAACAGTTATTGCGGGAGTCAAATGGCTCGTATGTGTCTCCATCACCAAGGACTTCATGGCTATAACCAGTCTCCTTCCCCTGCTCATGCTTTGTCTGAATAAATCATCCCCTGACAAAGCAGTGCTCTCATAGATACTCAAAGTGTATGTGAGCAGTCAAAGAATGTACAGTATATGTGCGTCAGATGCTTCTTCTTCTTATGTAAACCGTGTGGTGTGTTCTCAAATGACAGTGAGAAACTCTTAAAAATAAAGCTTCTTTAGTGGTTCGTTGAAGAACCTCTTCTCAACAATAACCGTTTTTCATTTTAAAGGTTCTTTGGAGATTCTTGAGGTCACATTATTGGTTTAAAGCTTGGGTTCGGAATCGTATACTACTCTTACTATTGCTGCAGTATGTAGTATGCAATGTTTTTTTAGTATGCATATGTCCAAACAACATTCACCGGATTTGCTGTATGGAACGTGGTTGACTTGACCTTCCATTTTCAGTGTGATGGATGAGACTATAAATAAGGCCTGTTCACATTACGAATTATAACTACATTGTCCACACCAACTGACTCTTTAAAATCTGATTGGCTGTCAATATTTCTATCACTCTCTATCTATTTCTATCACTTCGCTGTTCGCATAGAATGATTATATACAATGATTATTAAAACTTGATAGTTATAGTTAGCATTCTTGATGTGAACCGGCTTCGAAAGTCAGCCACAATTTTTACCATTTCTTTTTAGACTCATCGTTTGATCGGATTGGAAATAAATATATATTTAACACAAAATTGGCTTGGATTGAAAAATGTTTTATTTAATTATTATTATTATTATTTATAAAAATAAAAAAAAGTGTATCAAAATAATAATTATTTTTTGATGAATTAATCATGCAATGTGATGAGGTGATGTGTCAGTAATGTGATTATTGTGGAATTACATTGTATCCAGCAAAATTACTGTGAATTACTGTGCTCTATACAAAAGAATTTTCAGTTAACACTCAATTCTGCTCGTATTCAATTCCGAACAGTCTTTGTTTCATCTGTTTTGTGTTTTTTGAAGTGCTTCTATT